CACGCCAACGCCAGGGAATGGCTAGCATCGTCCGTGCACAAAAATGCTCCCGCGCCAGTGAAAGAGTTATTATTGTCCACCCACCTATGCCTTGGTCTTCCCAGTAGTCTCCTTCCTTCTGGCTTTCCCACCAATATCCTATATGCATTCCTCTTCTCCCCCATTCGTGCTACATGCCCCAGCTCATCCTCCTTGACTTCATCATTCTAATTATACTTGAAGATGTGTACAAGTTATGAAGCTCCTCATTATGCAGTTTTCTCCAACCTCCTGTCACTTCATCCCTCTTCAGTCCAAATATTCTCAACACCCTGTTCTCAAATACCCTCAGTCTGTGTTCCTCCATTAATGTCAGAGACAAAGTTTCACACCCATACAGAACGACAAGCAAAATTATAGTTTGTACATTCTAATTTTTATGTTTCTAGACAGCAGACAAGAAGACAAAAGGTTCTGGACTGAATGGTAGCAAGCATTACCCAAGTTATTATAGGACCATTGCTAATTTCCACACTTTACAAATCACTAGAGCACATGCAAAACCGTTTCCATCCCATAGAGTCTTCATTACTATTTGCCAGGTAACAGCCCAAGAGTGGCTGTTCCTCTGCCTCTGTGTTTCAGTCCTATTTTAATGGTGGCTCCCATCCATCTGTCTTAATTCTTGCTCCAGTTGTCCTCCTTATGACCCCTTGGCATGGAATACTGTAGAAAAGCCTCTGCTGTTGCTGTGGGTAGCTGTTTGCTGTCGTTGCATAGAAACAAATGTTGTTTCAGAGCTGTTCACTAGCAGTGGCTGTGGCTGTGTCTGTGGCCTCACAGTTTTTGCTTTGTGCAAATATTCTACAGTATTATTGTTTCTAATGTGCCCCATCAAAATTATCAGGCCAATAAACCTTTTCATTTCTGAAATGGTAATTGTGGACCACTTCAGTGATTAAAGTAATATATTTCATTGTTGGGTATTGTAACTGGTAGAAATTAGATTGATCTATAAAAAAGTTGTGTCACGTCATCACCAGTTACAGCACTGACCACTTCAGTAACACAGTTGGGCTTATTAAAATCTGTATTTGGTTGTGTGGTTATGAGAAATGCCTCATCACTCATTTTGATGTCAGTTTTATACCACATGCATTCTAATTCATGACTAGGATGATTGCTATTAGTTATCTGCGATTCACTGTCTCATGCGAAAGGAAGACAAATTCATGACCACGTTTTTGGATTTTGCATGCGAAGTAAATGAAGAAGTAGCAAGCAATTGGTTCCTTCTGTTTAGTACTTTCATCAGAGAACTGATCTGCATACTTCTGACAGAATACTGTCATCAGCTGTAACTTTTGCTGCCCATATATGTTTTATGCTGCAGAAAATCATGAAGTAGTTTATGTAAGGTTTGAGGTTTTCATGGCAGCGACTACGAAGAATGCTGTCTTTTGAGGTGTGGCACCATGTAGATAGGGACATGTCGGTTAACAAAATATCTACACGGCGCCATATCCCAGAAGATGGCATTTTTTATGAAGTAATTCAGGTAAGAGAGCAAGATGAATGCAATTTTTTTTGCATTCTTCCTGTATCTAAGGGCAGTGGTCAACATTTGGTGGATGTCAGAGCAACAGAACTGAGCATAAGCATCTTGAGACACAACAACACTCCATTGTTTCAGTCAATATTAACAACAGATTCCATGGTGATTTAAGGGAACTGAGTGAATTGAATGGTAGAATTGTTATATAAGATTATGGTATGTAAGGTCTTAGGTTACAAATGGCCTGTGTTTATTATTAAGAGGAAAAACATTTCCCCTCAAGGTGCTAATAGCTTCAATGTGATATGTCAGACAGGTGGTACTATAGCTGCCCCCTCTCTGCTTGAGATCCACTTTGGTATGTAGCCATGAATTTTAAGACGGTTTTGTAATGAAAGTACTGTACTGTGTTGGTGATGCCTCTCTGCTTAAGCCCACACATAAGGAGGAGAACACCATGACAGAATCAGTTTGAGGTTATCACTCATTGCTTACCTATATGCACTTTCACTTGCATGGAAGACACCTACAGTGATCTGCTCCACACCTTCCTTATTAGTGATAGTTGCAGTGATGGATTTAGGGAGGTAGTATTGGAGGTTGGGCGCTAGTAAGCTGGGATAGCCACTTGTGATAAGGATAGTGTCACCAGATGAAAGCAGAGGTTGGAATTGTCGACTACTCAGTACAGTAGAAATAAATTCTGTCTCAAGGTCAAATCAGGCCTTGCTGAAAGAAGACTATGTTAATTCATATCACCATAGAGTAATATCTCTTCAAGATGACTTTTACGCATAGTTACATTTATTCACACACACACTTAGAACACTTAAACTAGTTGAATTTGGTTAACACTGGTACTTGCTTCACTTTAATAATATGATGTCATTTTCCTGTTTTTGTTCCCCAGTTAATTTATACTTTGCACCTTTATCAAATTCTATTATGTTACAAGTTGAAGATACACCAGCTAGTGTAATTTACTGTTAGAAGATTATTAACAGTCTCATATTATACTTAGATGGAGAAACGTGGATTTAGAATCTATACAGCACAAGAGTCCGCAATGGAGAGTTTTTGAGAGTGCAATTCTTACAAGGAGTGAAATGCACAAGCCAGTAAATTTTGAACATAGGTCCTTCCTAGGCTTACATTATTGTTCCAGTTCAGACTTAAAGAATTAACAGAATTATGTTTTCTCCAATGAAATTTCATTATTGGATGGATTTAATCCTTTAAAACTCCAGCTTACTTTAACTGTTGTGGGTAAATTGTCAGTTTGTGTGTGTTGCAACTTACACTCCCTCAATTTATAGCTAGCTCCAATTGTGGAATATCTTAGATTACTAAAAGGCTAGCCATGGTCACTAAGTAAAGTAAAGTAAAGTAAAGGTATCCCTGTAACAGGCCATGGAGGCCGTAGGGTTGTGAGAGGTTCAGGTTCCCATGTTTTCTAGACCATTGGCTCATAGATGGCAGTAAGGTTGTCAGCCTTATGCGCCGGCCTCCCTTAATCCCAAGAATATTCCAGGTACTCATTTCTGTTAGAGGCTGAGTGGATCCCAGGGCCATAGTGTGACTGGAAGAATTAGGTAAATGTAAAAAATCCACCTCATTGAGATTCGATCCCGTGACCTTCTGGTTTGTAGCATAATGATTGCTTTCAGTGTGAGTTGTCTGCAGTGTGTTAGGCATAGAGATAATTTTACCTCCACATAAAGGATAGGAACTTCATTTGGCCTGAAGTGCAGAGTAAAACTACTGCTGGGCATTGAGATACCATTACTAATTCACAGTATGTTCTCTGCTGCATACCATTTTGAGAATATCTGTGGGGTCCACCTTCTAGTGGGCATTGGGGACCCTTTTCCCTGGGGTGAAGTGGCTGCATGTAGTTCACTACACATTGTAATCTGTGATGGGCAGTCAAATGAAAATGAGTCAGAAGCCAGAACATATTAAAGAACATTTCTTACCTTAGGAGTAATCTCCAAAACTGTTAATACATTTGTGCCCCTGGGAGATAAGAAGGTAAATCCCATCCAATAAAAAGCTTGTGGCCTCTCTGCGGAACCACATCCTTACCCAGCCACACACATCTCCATCCGATGCAAACCGATGTCCAAGAATGTCTCTTCAGGTCTCCACAAATGTGAAAATCACATGGGGAGAGATCTGGGCTGTAGGGGGGATGTTGAAGCACTTCCCAGCCAAATCTCTGTAGTGTATTCCTCACAGAGATGGCAGTGTGGGGGCGCGCATTATCATGAAGGAGGATAATGCTGTTCGATAGCATTCCAGGTCGTTTTGACTTTATGGCATGTCTCAATTTCTGCAAAGTGTCTTCATAGCGCTGTGCACTGATTGTGGCCCTATGCTTGAGAAATTCGACAAGCAGAGGGCCCTTGCAGTTGAAGAAGAACGTCATCTTCACTTTAGTGGAACTTGTGTGTACGGCCTTAGATTTCTTCGGTGGGGGTATCCACATGTTTCCACTGTTGGCTCTGCCGTTTGCTCTTGGGTTCAAAATAGTGGCACCAAGTTTCGTCCCCAGTGGCAATAGAGGACAGAAAAGCATACTCTTCCTCATGGTATCATTGCAAGTGACCCAGTGATGCAGCCATTCTCTGAGTCTTCTGTTCCTCCGTGAGTTGATGTGGAACCCACTGCGCGCAGATTTTGCATACGGCAGGTATTTTGTCACTGTACAGAACCATGACTTATTCCCATCAAAAGACTAATTTCTTCCAAAGTGATCTGTCAGTTTGCCCAGATATGACCATCCACCGTGGCAGTAACATCAGGAGTGACAACACGATGAATCTGTCCTGGGCTAGCATCATCTTGCAGTGACACATGTCCCTCTCAGAATCTCTTATGCCACGCCAGCACACGGGAACGTGACATGCTGTGTTCGCCATAGACAACAGACATGTGACGAATTTCTCATCACCCTACTCCATCAGTCAAAAAGCGCACTACACTTCTGTTCTTCTTTACCCGCCTCCATTACTGATGCTGGATGACCACACATAGCGCTAACCTTCTGTCACAATAAACAAATGACTATTATGCAAGGGCACGTCACTGTGCCTTCCCGAGTCCCCATCAGATGTTCCTACCGTAAGCAAATTCCAGTGTTACCAAATTGTGTGCCATGTGAGTTATACATGGTGACCCATTTTCATTTGACTGCCCCTTATTGTTAAGGCTAAGATGGCATGGAGCTATACATTCACTCTCCCAGTAAGTTTTCTTTGTGTGGTGTTTATTTAAGGTAAGGGGAAACTTTAGCTTTTACTTGTGTATTCTCTTCATGTAAAATGTCCCGTTATAGGAATGGGAGTATAATTATTAATTAAGCTTTTGTGATGTCTTTTTGTCTATAAAGTTTAGTACATATTCAGTTATTTAAAATAATTGCAGCATCAGTGACCAGTTTTTGGTCTCATTTGTTTTGTTGCAGAATAACGTGCCAGATCTTAAAATTGGATTCAGTAAGGCTATGTCATATGGATGGATTAAGGTGACAAAGCAAGGGAAAGATTCTTTGGTGACTCGTAAGGTAGAGTCCATTACAGATGTAGTACAGGAGCATCTCAGGGACATTCTGACTGACAATTCTAGTCAAGTTGATGATGAACACAAGCAAGTATACTGCAAAAGGAAGTTGCTGCAAGAACTGTAAGTTTTATTTTATTCTGTTGCAATATTTGTTAAAGTTTTAACCCAACTTGTGCTGTATATTCTCTTTCTTGAAATTACTTGAGTATGAAGTTTATAGCAATAAAAATAATTAGTGTTTTTTATAACACTGTTAAGGTGCCAGCTGGTCCAGATGTACTACCACCATCCTTTACTCGTTCCTCTGCATCCTGTTTGCAACATCGTTTATCTGAGTTACTGCCTTGTATGGGCCATCCTGTGAGGATTGGAGCTTGGGCAATTTCCTCTTCATGCAGGTTGTCTGATAGAGCCACACTTTGTCGCCATTGTGGTAGCCCGCACAGTTGGCCAGTTTGTCAAAACAAGTTTTCATCTGGTCAGTTTCAGGTGGTGGCAGGCTTAATTTTTGAAGCCATGTAGATGGTCCACAAAATTTGATGTGTGTTCGATTGTGAGTTGTGCCTTATTGGGGTGTGCCCCAAACAGCAGGTCACAGGGCAGTTGGAGTTCTCTCCCGAACCCTGGGCTATCAGGGGTCAAGCCCATAGTGTTGTGAGTGGATGCCCTGTAAGCAAGGAAGAAGATGGGTAATCTTGCATCTCAATATCTCTGGTTCAATGCCATGACCTTCCTTATGTGCTCCTTGACCATTTTGATGTAGCATTCCACCATGCCACCTACTGTAGGTGCAGGGGCAGGGGCATTTTGTGTGTCTTGCTTACTTCCAGGTGTTGCAAGACCTTCTGTATCAGATGAGACCTGGAGTTAAGTCCTGGCAACTATGTAACTCCTGCAGTACTCCAAAGTGGCAAAAGAAGTAGATAACCATTGCTTCCCCCACTATCAAAGCCTATTGATTGGGAATGGCATAGTCTTCCAACCACTTCATAAAGTAGTCCATAGCGATCAAACAAACTACATGAAATGCACCAGAAGAAGAAAATGTAAGATTGATGATATAGAGATTGGAAATTTAAAAATAGATCAGATCATTTAAATATTTTGGAGCAATAATTTGAAAGAAGAAGAGATTAAGGAGAGAATAGCACTAGGAAATAAGGCATATTACTCAAACAAAAGTATGTTCAAAAGTAAATTAATTTCCAGAGGAGGAAAATTGAAACTGTACTGGTCAGTGGTCAGACCAGTAGTTACTTATGCCTGTGAAACCTGGGTACTCAGAAGAAAGTGAAATCAATTAATTACTTGTTTTTGAGAGGAAAATTCTAAGAAAAGTTTTTGTCCCAAATAAAGAAAATGATAGCTGGCAAATGAAAACAAATAAAGAATTAAATCAGTTAATCACCTATAAAAATATAATAAGTTTTATATGTGCACAAAGACTCTCATGGCTTGGCCACGTAGAACGAATGCCATCCAACAGATCAGTTAAAAGCCTGTACTCATGGAAACCATTAGGTACGAGACCAGTAGGCAGACCGAAATACAATGGGAAGATGATGTTAAAGCTGACATTAAGAAGATGAAGGTACCAAATTGGAAGGTAACAGTCCAGGACAGGACCAAGTGGAATGGTGTGGTTGAGAAGATCAAAACTCTACCTGAGTTGTAGGGTAAAAATAGAAGAAAAGAACTCCATAGCCGTCATGAGGCATCGGTTTCTTTGGTCGCTCCATGGGAAGGGCCTTGCTGCATCAGTGGTTATCCTTTTGGGTGGAGCCCCGGCATTGTACTAATGCATTTGGCCCTGAGTCCTGTTTTTGGGGGCCGTGACTGGCTGCACAAGTATCATACTGCTGGCATCACTTCTCAACATCATTTCTTGCCTGGAACCACTAGTATCTTTGCCAGACCGTATTCAGGGTTTTCATGACACCAAAATGACCTCCTGACAGTCCACCTTGTTCACTCTGGTCCAAGGGAAAACTGCCTGGACTCTTTTATATTGCCTGTCAGTGAATTCCCAGTGGCACTTTAGTATGCTGTTCCTCATGGTGAAGGATTTCCATTGGGCCCAGTAGCTTTTGTACGTGGGGCTGTGGTTGGAAAAGTCTTCATTTTGGCACTCTCTGGTCTCTGCTTCCTCCAGAATGGGCTCTATGTCCTTGTCATTCAGTCATTATGTTCTCAAAGTAGCTGGGTCCCAGCTAAAATTTTGAGTGAGCCCTGCCCCAGGTCAGAGTTAACATCGTTCAAGATGGGGAGGGCTTCCCAGATGCTGTCTGCAGTGTGTAACATTGGTTCGTCTGTCTTTTGGGCCATCGGGCGGTAATGTTGGGCCTGGCCGCAGTTATATATGCCCCAATGTCCACGGTCACAAGGCATGGTTTGTCACCATGTGACTAGGCTAGGGTCAGCCCTTTCCGTGATGACAGTCTGCACTTGGTGGGGGGGGAGCTTAATTTATATGCCATTTTCTGCCCACTGGCTCCTGTTTGTTTTCCGACAGTTATCTCACCTGTCTGCTTCTCTGTTTCTCTGTCACCATTTGGCCTATTGTTGCCTATTTGTGTCCATTATTTCGCTCTTGAGACTCCAAGCAGATTAGTATTGTTACGTGATTGTAACTGTAGATGGAGTTTGGATTGGTAAATGGATATTTTGAACTCTTACAGAACAGAACTACAAATAACTATAGCATGAACACTAATTCACACACTCTGCAATTAACTACAGCATATATGAATTCTTCTCAGTCTGCCATATCTTCACCAGTAGTTACCTGGAGTCAGCTTCCAACACTGTAACTTCCTCAGCTATATTCTTGTCCTGACTAGCTGTCATCTGTCTCACAACTAACTCCTACTCTTCAGACTGTGTCTCAAGGCTCTCACATAATCACAGCTGCTCCTCGTCTAGTTCTGGCACAGACCACACAGAAAACACCACTACCAGCAGTTCTTCTCTTTTTGCATCATGTAGCTATCACATGGACCACTTAGAGAACACCATTTCCCAGTTACTTCGTTGTTGCATTTTAATGAAAGTGTTGTGACCATTATCTAGCAACAGCTGTTTTATAGCTGTGTATTTTACTGTTGTTGCCTAGCAGCTGATCTATATGCCACAGTATCATTCTCAGTGGATTGCTATATTACAAGTGAATGGAAGCTGGGGTGTGGAATAGTTCAGGTGTTTAAAACCTAGTCTAGAAACTACAAGCAACCCTAATATGAAAATACGCTTATCTTGTGAAGTCAAATATCTGCCCTCCATATAATTCAGTTTGCGCTGAAGTCACACAACAATAATTTGAGGACACAATTGGAGTTTCATTTGCACATTCTCAGCAGAAAAGAATAAATTCCAATTTTTATTTGTGTCTAAATTTAAAATAAGATGTAACTGCCATAATTTTAGAATCTAGATTGAAAGCAGTATTACTGACTGAATATGAAATATCTTATGCAAGGGATACAGTAGCTTCACATTTGGCTGCAGATTAGCTTGACAGACTTTGAACCTGTTACTATCAGGAGTCACAGGCATTATGTTTGTTGTGGTCAGATTTTGAAGGCACTGAATGGAAATGAAAGAAACATCACAAAATGACAAGTTTAAAAGGTATTTAGTGGAGCCTGTTATTTCGCTCAGAAGGAACTCATTCTCATGGTTATAGGAGAATAAAAATATGTCCTCATTTTATTTCCACTTGCACAACATTATATAGGGATACTAGCAGCTGAAGTGTCAAGTGAGAGGTTGTTTAGCACTGCTGGTAGTGCAGTCTCAATTAGGTAAGAAAAACCTGATAGCAGAACATGTTGAACACCATGTATTTTTGCATGGAAGAGTTTCAGACAAACTTGTATGTACGTGTTACTTGTATTTCTTGTTTTTATTCATGATATAGGAGAATATTTAGGGTAACTGTTGTCTTTCTGGCAATTTTCAGGGTCAGGAGGATATGAAAAATGACCTGAACCTGAAATGATAATTATTAGATGCAGTAAGTTGTAAGAATTGTTTTGAAAAATTGGTATTGACGATTTTTAGTTTTAACAAGGGTGAAAAAGGACATAATCCTAACTGACTTCACGAAGCTGAGTGCCTCTTGAGAAACCACCAGTTGTGCAGCTGCTCAAGAACTTCCCAACATTTTATGGAACCTGAAGGTTCATTACCATGTTCATAAGAGCCATCCACTGGTCCCTATCCTGAGCCAGATCAATCCAATCTATACCATCCCATCCTATCTCTCTAAGAACCATTTTAATATTGTCCACCCACCTATGCCTTGGGCGTCCCAATGGTCCTCCTTCTTCTGGCTTTCCCACCAATACCCTGCCTGCATTCCTCTTCTCCCCTATTCGTGGTACATGTCCTGCCCATCTCATCCTTGACTTGATCATTCCAATTATACTTGGAGAAGAGTACTTATGAAGCTCAGCATTATGCAGTTTTCTCCAACCTCCCATCACTTCATCCCTCTTCCATCCAAACATTTTCCTAGGCATGTTGTTATGAAACACCTTCAGTCTGTGTTCCTCCCTTAATGTCAGAGACCAAGTACCATAGCCATACAGAACCACAGGCAAAATTATGGTTTTGTATATTCCAATTTTTACGTTGTTATACAGCAGACGAGAAGACAAAAAGTTCTGGACTGAATGGTAGCAAGCATTACCCAAGTTCAATCTCCTGTTAACTTCCTCCTGAATCAGGTTTTGATTTGTTACCGTCATTCCGAAATAACTGTGCCACATTTTCAAAACATCTGTTTCCTGTCTTTATGTCATGATTTTGCCCTGCATATTGGTGATGAGACAGTGACATATACTTGGTTTTTTCTGTGTTTACTTCTAGACCAACCTTCATACTTGCGTCAATTAAAGTTGGTGTGTTTTTCTTTATGGTATCTATATTATCACCCCGTAGATTCACATCATCGGCATAGACCAGCAGCTGATGTGTCCCATTTAATTTCAGTCCCACCTGGTTTTCCTGGACCTTCCTAATGACATATCTAAAGCAAAGTTGAAAAGCATTGGTGATGAAGCATCTCCTTGATTTTAGACCATTCTTCATAGGTTTGGACATAATCCTAGAAGTGATTTTTCTTCATTACTGTATTATAATTTATTAAAAAAAATTTACTGAAATAGGATATGATATCAGAAGGGAGAAGTAATTCTCTTAGAGCGCTATGAAAAATGGGCTGGTATTGTAGATTGTCATTACAATGAAAACAAGAAGTTCTGGGAAGAATCAATCACCCACTGTTGTTTGATGTGACATGGAACACATAGAAAATGGTGCTTCCAACAATTCTTCTATTTTTGTGTATGTGTTTGCTGCTGCATTAATGTTTTTACTGAGCGATTGCCTAGCAATGATAGGGGGATACACATACAGACACACAGACTGATGGGAAGTATTTTTTTAAGTATGCTGTTGAGATGGACTCAGGTGCCATGATATATGTACTATGTTTCATAAAGATTGGTTGAGGCATACAAAAGTTGATAGGCCAGTATTCACAGATACACAGAGAGCATAGTGATCTCATAAGCCTACAATTATTTTTTTCAAAATAAGGAAAATAGGCTAAAAATTGTTATAGGAGTGAAAGTTTTCATTCTCGTCTCAAGTCTTGCAGTTTTTTCAAAATTCTCATCTCAGTCTTATCTTAAATAAAAAGACTTTGTGCATACATGCAAATTGCATACACTGTATACATACTGTACAAATAATTACAGAGATTTTCAGTTCTCCATTTGCAGTCTTATTACCTATTTGTAAAGCAAGATGCCAGCTAGTGTTTGGCATCTGCCTGACAAGAAAATCAACCAGTAGTGCACAAACTAATTGGAGGATCTATCCATGCTAAAAGAATGTTAGCAGTACAACCACTTTACTCTCTTCATAACTACAAGGGCTGCTGAAAACTGTGTGCCCTCCAGTATTGACACATTTCACACCAGCATAACAAATTTTATGCTTGCTCTTCATGATTTTTTAAATCATTTTCTGGATTTCATTCTATAATGCCTCCAGATGTGTATATCTGTAAACCCTTAGATTCAAGTTTCCCCACAGATGGAAATCACACATGTTTAGATCTGTAAAATGTATTGGCTGTACTGATTATTTGTTCATAAAAAAACATTCCATTATTCCTGCATGTATTCTCTGCACTCTGCTGGTGCATTGTTCTGCTGAAAATATACAAACCCCTTTGAAGAAGGGCTCCAACAATTTGTTTATGTGCTATTGTGGATGGACTGTGTTGTAAAATATATGGGGCGTACTTACTGCTGGATGCATCACAAATCACTTACAGATATTTGTAAACAGTTGCTGAGGAATGAAACAACAGTTTGTATGAATCGCTTTTACACTAAATATTATTTAGTGTTATCATGCAGCAACCAGACCAGAGATTGGGAAGCTGAGAAATTTGGAGGGAAGTATTCACACTACCTTAGATCTGTAATGCAGCATAATGTTTTGCCTCATTACTTTGTTTTTGTTAACTGCAGGTTAAGAAAGTGGAAACTTTCATCATAATAGCTTCCAGCTGATCCACAAAAATTATGGAGTATCAATGCAGAGAAGCCTGCATTGAAACATGTACAGACATGTAAATGGTGCTGTAGCCTACTCCTTGGTTAATTCTTACTTTCTACATTTTTCTTTGTGTTTAATGTCATATGTACACAAACATTGCAATGCCCTGTCTTGAGTCTCCTAAATTCAGAAATATGTGGCATTACAGTTAAATACTTCATTTTCTTCTTCTTAGTTTGACAGGTTAGTCCCTCTGGCCTCTAAAGTTAAATAACTATACTCCATTATAGAGTTGCGTAATAGTAAGGGTGAACAGACACACATGGGCTCATGTTTTGATATAAACACTCTTAGGTATTGTATGTATATTGACAGTTAACTCACACAAGGTAACACAGAGGCCATGCTGCTGTAGCATCCACTCTAAATGAATATGCACCATAGTACTTTTAGTAACACTTAACATTAGCCTCTATGGGATATTTTCTTATTTCATGATATGCAGATCCTAAGCAGGGGGGAACTTGAAGATTCGGACAGATGTAATACATTTAAGATTACATTTGGAACCATATTTACACACAAGAAGAATATCTGCAGGCACTTCAAAGCACCATTGTTTCATGGAAAGAAAAGAGTTCCCAGAATTATTCAAAGAAAATCAGATTCCGAATAATTTATTTGTAAAGCAGTGATTCAGAAATAAATGATGCATTATATTACTGTTTCCTTAGCCATAAAGAGAATTCGGCACACATGCTGCTTTGAGCCCATTGAATGAATTAGTCATTTTTGTCCAGTATTCTTTTCTTGGTACGGATAAGTATTATGTTTTTAAGTGCTGTTAGCTGACACCTAACCTTGTTTGATTTTATGTTTTATTCCTGACAGTTATACAGGGATTAGGAGTATATTATACATACATAGTAATTTAAATTGTATTTCTTTTCTCTTTAGGACAATCAGAAGCTATCAGTTAACAAAAGGTAAAGACTTCACCATATCTGTGGAGAAAGCACAGTCAGACCTGACGGTGGAAATGGTAGCTAGCGGCTCATGGCGAGAAGAGAAATTTAAACCATATAATTTAGATGCCTTGGGTGCTCCACTTAATTGTGGACATCTCCATCCACTCCTTAGGTTACGAGCTGAATTTCGCCAGATCTTTCTGGAAATGGGGTAAATGTAATCGGAGTTAACATTTTGTGTAAATTTATTGTTACACTTAAAGCATCATGCCATGTGTGCATTTTTGATGTCTGCACTAGTTTGACATCACTATCAAGCTCTAGGGAAAGAGGTCCTGACCATGATAATAAGTTTTTTAGTTGAACTAAGCTAAAGATCTTCTGTATATCTTGTCACACTTAAGTTATTTCATGTGGTTTATTCATGCACATGGCAGACTCATAAGCACATTCTAACTTACAAGAAAGAATATGTTACAACTAACAGGTGTGTGAATAATGATTACATGATCATTTTCCTCATTTTAGTCATATGTCTGTGAATGCCTCTTATACAGATTCACTGAGATGCCAACAAATAACTACATTGAGAACTCATTCTGGAATTTTGATGCTCTCTTTCAACCTCAGCAGCACCCAGCACGTGATGCACATGACACATTTTTCATCTCAAGTAAGATTTATTTTATAGAACATTCAGTGTTTTGAATGCCTTGTGTGGCCGAGGTCAGTGATAGTGATACCAAATCTCTTTACGTACACATGAAAGTTAGTGGACTGTGCACTGAAGTATTCAAACTTATATGTGTGGCCCAGCCATACTCCCCATACTGAATTATCTTTGTAGTTTTCTTTAGGCGTAAAAATCAAGAAAGCATTGATTTACTATAAGCTAACTCTAGCCCATTGAATACTGTTGGACACCTTGTTTACTATTCTGTGATGGTGAAGGTCAGGTGATGTAGTGAAGGTTATCCCCAGTGCAAGATATAACAGTTTCTGAATCCTACAGATTGAAAGTGCTAGGAAGTGATCATTTTCAAGGTAGTTCACATTTAGTAAACTTTAGATTCAAAATAATTGTTAGTGAACATTGCATAAAGTGTATGTTCATTAAATTGTATACATTTCTGCTTTTAGTGGATTGTATTATAAAATAAATGTGTTGTTTTAATTTTGAATTCTGTTCTTATTGTATTCTGAGGGACCTGCAGTGAAGAAGAAACAGAGAAGGGGCTTTGTCCTTATATGAAGGAAGAAAGGAATTAACAAATCAGTGTTGTGTTTTGTAGATCCTCAAATCAGCTCCCACTTCCCACCTGAGTACTTGCAGAAGGTAAAGCAGGTTCATAGTAAGGGAGGATATGGGTCGCAAGGATATGGGTGTGATTGGAAGATAGAGGAAGCTCAGAAGAACCTTCTCAGAACTCACACTACTGCTGTGAGTGCACGCATGTTATATCTGCTTGCAAAGGAGGTTAGTACAAGAACTCAACTTTAGAGTCTCTCTCTCTTTTTGTATTCAAGGTATTTCTGAGTGATGTCAATTAATACTGTGTCAAGAATAACTTGGAACTGAAAACATTGGAAGATTATGGGTCTTTTCGGATGTGATTTCCTGTGTTTGGTACCTTTCTTCCAGACCACATGGTATGACATTCCAAAACATGAATCTTCTGGGATGTGGCACCATGTAGAAATTGTATTAACCAATATTTCGGAGAAACAGACTCAGTTGCCTTCCTGCCCTATGTTGGGACTGTATTCAACTGTATCAGTAGAACGCTCTCCTGGCACAACATCAAATCAGCGAGCCTGCCTCCAAAGAAATTATCTAGTTTCCTCCGGGCAGTCAAAGATAGCCTGGGACTAAGGACACTGAGTGTATACATTATCCCATGCAAGTGCGGCAAGGTCTATATTGGGCAGATGGGCCGTTCTGTGGGCACGAGGTTGAAGGAGCATCAATGGCACATCTGTCTCGAACATGAGAGTCAGCTGTGGCTGAACAGAGCATTGCTTTGGGACACTGCATTCAGCTTCAGAATACCTCCATCCTCGCCACCAAGAACCGTTATATGGATTGCATCATAAAGGAGGCCATTGAGATGGAACTCCATCCCGACAATATGAACAGAGATGTGGGGTTTTTTCTCGGCAAGTCATGGAAGCCTCTCATCTGTTCCATCAAGAAACCTCCGAGATATGACGCCAGATCCACAAGGCCGCTCAGGTCCATCGCAGCCCCCGAGCTACAGGGTTATTGCCCGCCATTTAACCTTCCCTTCTCTGCCCCTGACACATACTCTATACCTGGTCTGGCCTGCTACCTGCTGGCCACTTCCCCAGACCCTTCCCCTCTCTACCGTTTCCCCATGTAACCTCACTCACTTCCCTTCCTTCTCTTATACAGCTGTGTTTACTCAACTGGACTCAGTCTTTTGCCCCTGCTCAAGCTGGTTCGCTTGCAGATTTCTTCTTGTCTTGTACCCTGAAGATGGAGGCGATACATTCCTCCAAAACGTCGGTTAACACAATTTCTACATGGCGCCACATCCCACAAGACGGCTTTCTTCATAGTCACCACCGTGAAAACCTCAATCAAATCTTACATCCCAAAACATGTTCACTGCTATGCGAACCTCATATCTTGCTAAAAATATATAATTAGTGCACTTCATTAATCCTACAATTTTGGAGGTACAAAGATTGTCTGCTATGAATATAAAAACGTCATGCACCAAATTGTGCATCACACTGTACTTATCATCCTGGTCATAGTTTACAAGAGTGGGGACCATGACATGTGATTCTTATTTGTTTTCAGTTGCACATGTCAGTAAAGTTGACATACTTTTAGGTTCTTATCAATGAAAACAGTGAAACCACAATGGTTAGATGAGTTTCATGTTGAAAGGTAGGTTGGTGTATAAGAGGTAGAGAGCCGGATAGTTTTCTTTAGTTCTCTTCTGTCTTTATCACATGTCGTTATTGCATTCTTACACACAGTCTTCTTAGTGAATGCAGTTGTGGCATCCTCAGCACTGGATGAGCTTGCAGGTCATGTGTCTTGCAGCAGCACCTGCCATATCTGTAGATGCAAGGCTTGGTCTGAGAAATCGACAGTGATAGGATGGTGAGGGTTAATACTTGCATAATAATTTCTTGTGTCACCTTCAAAACTTTATTAAACTTTAGAAAGTGTGTGATAGGACTGTTGCTTCTCAGCTAATAGAGTGTGAGTTCTGTGAGTCTGAAGATACTATCACATATATTACTGACTACAGGTGGGATTTGGATTGGTAATTGGATTTTCTGACCACATACAAGTCATAACTACAAACAAGTATAACACCTCAAATCACCGTTGCTGATTTCCACACTACAGATCACTCCACACTAAATCTTCTCAGTCTGCTTTCACTAGTCTTCATAGCAACACTCAACAATGGCTATTCCTCTGCAGTGTTTTCACTATTAATTTTGTGGCAGTGGATTTTAACACAAACTCTAACAGTCATGCTCCACATATCACAAATAAAGTCACACATAAAGTCTTCAAATCACATGCTAAGTGTTCTCTTCAGAGGCTGACTTTCAAGTCTGAACTGACCTGCTTCCTCAATTCAGTTCCTTTGCTCCCAGTCTCATATCCTGGCAGGCTGGTGCCTTGGGTTCAACTGCTTCAAACAGCCTTCCATGTTTTTATAACTGCTTGGTACAGACCACAGCAGAAAACAGAGCCTCTTTGTTGTTGTGTGACGTCACCACGTATGCAGAATGTGTTTAGCGCATGTTGCATAGCAACGGTCTTTGCGCAGACCACAGTAAACACTGCTAGTCTATTGTCAAAACTGTGTGTTTACTGTCCTGTTACCTAGCAATGGATCTCAATGTTACAGTGCTATACAATTTGTGATTTATGGCTTTTCTTGTAACTGATATGTTTCAGGGATTTAAACCTTCAAAGTACTTCAGCATTGATAGGGTGTTCCGTAATGAGACTCTTGATGCTACACATCTTGCTGAGTTTCATCAGGTGGAAGGGGTCATTGCTGATTATAGCTTAACTTTGGGTGACCTCATAGGTGGGTTTTTATTGATAATTGAAAGAAAGAATGATAATTAGTCCCATGTTGTAAGGGTTCTTCAGCATGCTGAGTTAGAGATGGATAACTGTGGCCTAGTAGCTGAGAAGTTGATGAAACTTTGGAAAAATGTTCCACATTTATTGTCCAGGAGTAGGGATTTGAAGTCTTCTATTCTGGGGTTGCAAGCTGTATGTAAGTTCAGGGGTAGCATTTTATAGTCTAGGAGTATGGGATTTACAGCTCCTAGTTCTCCACGGATGATGGTCATAATTTGCCTTAGGAGTAATTTTTTTGGTATTGAAGAAATGCAACATTCATCTAGCTGGATCTCACACACTCACTCTTGCAATGTTGAGGTGCATTGCTGGTAAAGGTTACCTAGCAACTGAGTGAGGGTCTTGTAGATCAATTAAATTACTGGTCTGAATTCATTTACAGTAGGATGTCTGTGTGTATATTTTTGCTGGCATGTTGCAGTATCTCTGCTTCCTATATGATCTTGTCTCACTGCAGGAACTCTATATGAATTCTTCAACAAATTGGGCATTACTAAACTTCAGTTCAAGCCAGCATACAATCCATACACAGAGCCCAGCATGGAGGTGTTCTGTTATCATGCAGGTCTGGGAAAATGGATTGAGGTTGGCAATTCTGGTATCTTCCGACCAGAAATGCTTCTGCCAATGGGCCTTCCAGAAGATGTCAATGTTATTGCATGGGGACTTTCTCTAGAACGGTGAGTTATTACAAAAATGACTGGGGAACCTTGGTCCCCAGGATTAATGTTGAAAACGTTATTAACCTTTATCGGACGAACGTCATCATATGATGTCATTAAAAGTTAGGGCAGCTGGCCGAACGTCATCATATGATGTCGCGGATTCCACGCGTGTAAGGTTTTTTTTAATATTATATTAAAAATATAAATTGTTCTTCTATTTACATGATTTTTGGTCACCACCTTTATAAGGCGACAGCCTGCCCTCCAGCGTGATCTGATGTAATCTAGTGACGTCATATGGCCCAACAACCTCATATGATTTCGCGCATTGCACGCGTGTAAAGATTTTTTTAAAATTAAATTTAAAATTAAATTTTTGCTCTACTTACGTTATATATGTTCACCATCTTCATGAGGAAACAGCCTTCCCTCCTGCGTCATCTATGGTAATGTGGCCTTCGTATGGTACTGCCGAAAACATTCCGAAATGCTGAGTCCGACGTCGCACCTCACGCACTTCGTACGAACGCTAGACCGCTTCCCACGCGAAGAACACACACGACACCTCAGTTGCGATTTAGAGGAAGCAGGCCAGTGATGTCGACGGGCTTCCTCTAATCGTTTTACTAACGATGAGACGGCAGGAGGTCAACCAATGGACCTTTGAGAGCGAGGTGAACCCCTTCCAGCTTCTTCCACCATGTTGCACACAAGGGCGAGACGAAAGTCTCGATGTGACAATTTTGCACCACACAATGACAACAAGATGAAGCTGTTCAGAATTGTCAGATCCAGGAGATGGAAAAATAGTTTATTTGTCCATTTCCAGGTCCGACGACTGATGCTGTAACTGTTTGTCATTCTGTCCGCTTTGTCGACATAACCCATGTGCGTGTTATAATCCACAACAACTGATGGTTTGATGGCATTTCCGTGCTCATCACAGAAACTGCCTTCTGCTGGAGGACAGTGCATGTTTGTCAGTATGTGTACGTCACGTTTGTCCTTCCAAACTAGTGCTGTCAAGTTC